TTTCAACCAACTAAATATGACTAGAAAGTGGAATTACCAGTCACTGGAGCACAAAAATTCAACGCTGCACAAAAATCTCATTGTCTAACCCCTTTATCTAAGTAACATCCATCAGAGTCTCAAATAAAGCTGTGAAATTCTTGGCATGGGTTCTATATCTTATTGTTTAGAAATGAGATTACTTTTGAGACTAATGTTTGCAAGTAAAGTAGGAAAAGGAAGGAAAGCATTTTACCAGCATAAACTTACATATCATAAATGGTTTCTGTATCTACAATTATCTCATAAGGGATTTCAGCATTAGACCATACATTTTCAAAATGCCCAAAAAAATAATATATTGAGTGACTGAAAAACAAATGATTTCAAACAACGAAATAAAGGAGCTCAGTAACACCTTAAGTCCTGCCCACCAATCAACAATCCAAACTAGTTGCAGCCACAACAACTCTGCCAACACCCTATGATCTTTCTATAGTGTTCTTGGACAGTGGTCGAATGAGAACAAAGCATACTGCCTGGAAAAGAATCGCATTGCATGACGAGAAAAAAAACATGGTGACCAATAGCAAGATAAAAAGGGAAAAACAAAAGGACAACATTACACATCAGCCAACTAATCCAGTTGAAACTTCAACTACAAAGTAGATTCTAATTTCTACAGGAAAAAAAGAAGCAAAAATGGACTCTTAGACTCTCGTCTCATTTATAGATCGAATGGTATCATGAGATATGGCGACAAGCGCGGTCACAAAAGCTGAAACCTAAAGATTCGGATTTAATTTTATTTTACTAAATTTTATTAGCTAAGAATAAAGTTAGTAGATTCAAACCCGGATTACATGCAAGCTTATTAATAATCCCAGCTGAAGAATCAAATAAAAAGACAACAGATAAGCCATTCGCCGGCAATTTCATTCACTGCAACCACATCAGATTCGAAAAGAAAACATAGAAACCCAGAACGCAAATTACCAAAGAGAGAAAAAATCGATCCAGTTAATCGAACCAAAACATGAAGCAGATCACCTGAGAAGTTAGAACAGAAGCCAATCTATAAAAAAACCCAAAAGAACCTGGATGAGATTGACGCGAGGCCGGAGATGAAGAAAAGAAGGCCCAATGGGACTATAACAGCTGCCGCGGCAACCGCCATGGACACCACAAGCAGCGGAGCACCCGAGATTCTCAAAAAAGGGAGGTTTTCAAGTGAGATTTTAGATTATAATTAAAGAAAAATATTTCCCTTTCTATATTTGTGAGAATTGAGTCCACCAACACTTACTTACAAATAGTGCATCAGAAAATGGATTAATTAATAATGTTTTGTGAAAGTGCGTGAAGAGATGAATATAGAAAATGACGTACTAAAATATAAAAAATAGGATAAACTACAAAATGGCACTAAAGTATGAGTAATTCTTCTTTCAGTACTAAAGTTTCAAAATACGAAACAGACTCACATTATCATTTTATAACAAATTGGTCGCTCTGGAGTAGGGTTGTAAACGAGCCGAGTCGAACTCGACTATTGCTGAGCTTGTCTCTAGTCAAAAAATATGAAATGACGCTTGGATTGAATCGAAAATTTGTGAGCCTAAAATTTTTAAGCTCGACTCAAACTCGAAATCATGAATTAAAGCTCGAAAAGGCTCGAAATGAAAAAAAATCTTAAAAATTAACTCGATTGAAGCCTCGAAACTCGAACCTGAACCTTAAATACATAAAAAACTTTATATTGCATTTTTTAAATCAACACATAAATGTTAATAACTTAATATTATTAATAATTTTTTTAAAAAATCTTAATGTATTATATTTTCGAACTGTTCACGGGTTTTTGAGTCAAGTATTAAGTAGCTCGTTTCGGCTCATTAAGAACTCAAGTCGAGTATTTATCGAGCGTTGACCGAGTCAATCTCGAATAGTTAACGATCTATCTCGTCTCATTTACAACCCTACTCAAACGTTGATCGCGGTAAGTATAGAAGGTTGATGTGACACATTAGATGAACTTATTTGGTACTATTTAATCACGTAAGATAAAACTTGGCCGATCTTAACTCATTTGATAAAAAGTATAAGAGAAACATTTTAATTTATACAGATTTAGGATCATTAAATGAGTGAAAATAGATGGCCCATATTGACTTCTTGTTTTTTTTTCAAAATGAATATCTTCACATATCCTACTGTTAATTGTATCATCTATTTTCACTCATCCAACGGTCCTAATGTAACACACTTATCCCGTATACGATCCCATATACGAGATAGAAGTGTCACATCAAACGTATAAAACATATAATGTTCAAAAATCAGTAAATTTTTGTTTTATTTAAAATCGACAATAAAATAAATAATGCATTTAAAAAACCATAATATAGAATAATTAAAATACTTTCATTTATCATATTATCAAAAAGAGTTCAGACATATTCGAATTAGAGCATCAAAATAAAAATACATGCCAACTATGAATATCAAAAACATCGAAAAGATATCATTGATTCTAGATGTCTGAAATGGTCTCCCAAAATATTAGATTTTCTGTCTGGCTCCCTACTCTGCTGATACTGACTTCACTTTCCCTACGTGTGAACCAATCACACACTAAGTATTCCACTTAGTGAAGCGACATAAAAAGTAAAGAAAATGTTTAACGAGTATAATTAACCATATCAATAAAATTTTACTAAAATAAAATATATACAATTTACATCAAGCATATATTTGATTTAAAACCACTTTATAAGAATTTTCACGAATTATTCATACTAAATTTATTTTCGGACTTATACTTTTCCATTTCAAAGCAGATAATTTCCATATATTTTATTAAGATCAGACCATTACTTTGCCCATTATATTATCATGAGAATACGTGATACTTGAGTCAGATAACGGGTGAGCGTGTTGTATACAAATTTATTATTAGAAAAAATTGCACCGAGTCACTCCACCTCGTGTATAACTAAGGCATCCAAGTCAGTCCACGAGTGACCCATCTTGGTGTCATATAATACATATAAAGCTAATCAAATGTACCAAATCACTCCACCTCATGCACCATTAAGATACGCCGAGTCAAACCACGAGTGATCCACACTGATGCTATTTCAGAAACATATTTCGATTCACTTCACCTCATAACATGTCATTGTACCACTAATCCTCATTTTCATACAATAGGAATGGTTATAAATAAATTACTAATTTGCATATAAAAACAATTCAGATAATTGATTATAAAATCATTTTCATAAAAGTCCAAACTTTGGGCAGATCATACCCAAAACAACCATACACTGTAAAATAAAACAACTTAAGAAAATCTACGTCAAACACTACTTTAAAACCTTCTCGATAAAAACAATCGAGGTTGACTCATCAACGCAAGTCTTCCTAGTATTATCTAATATAAAAAAGTTTAGTCGCACTCACCTGTGGCCTCACTAGCTTACTTGATACTATCGATTTACTCTCGAACTTTATCCTTTCCTTTTTATCTCGTTTGAACTTGTAAACGATCACGATCTACACGAATGTCATTATTCCGACATACCAAATTCAAACACAAATAGTATTGTAATTAATAATAATAAACTCGATTTCGAATAAAATTCTGAAAATTACCATCATCTCATATTCGATTTCGAATAAAATGATGTTCAACTATAACTAAATTGTTCTGTCATTTCAACCCCAAAGGTTGGATTTTTTTTGTTGGGGGGGGGGGAATGATCTGAAACTGACATTGTGAATTAGAAAACGTAACAATCAAAGAATCACATGATATGCCACTACAGCTGCAAAGAAAACATGTGTCAATTACTCTTTCTGCTTTGAGCTTTCCGTTAATGCATGCAATTTTAATAGTTTTGCATGTGAAAGAGGTTGCCCTATGAATGAACATGATAAAATATTGCACGATGCTGAGAAGGCCCAAAAGTGAGTGTTTGATGCATTAGCAATTAGTAGTATGTGCTCATGTCTGCTACTTACGTAACAGTTTGATGCTGAGAAGGCCCAACATGTGTTTGAAATGTCATTTGTGCATGTTCTTGTTGAACACAAATGATACTTGATTTGTGTCGAGTGAACATGTTCAATATGCGTGGAATGCTATGTTTTTCTTAATTAATCTGATGTAAGTACAAGACTATCTATTCAAAGATAACTCTTAATCATTTGACATTGAACGCTCACGCCCCTGATATTCCTGGTGCTCAAACTCGAAACCTCAAAGAATAACAATTTATTATCAATGAGTTTGCTCGGTTTGCACAATATATTTTAAACCTAAACCCAGACAATCAAATCTTAAACCTAAACCACCAACAGACTAAAAGAGTACAAGAAATATATTTAAGTTCTTACTAGAAACAAGTTAGAATGACCGAAATTGAATTTGTATACAAAATTGATTAAACAAGGGAAAAACATGTAATTGGAATAAAGCATGCAGCCTCCAAATCCCATTCTGAACATTTTCAGATAACCAAATGCAAGGGAATAGTAGTATCAAACATTTAATCTATAAAAGAAAAGGAATAGAAAGGATGAAACCATAAAAGGTAAAGTAGATTACTGTTTGAGATACCCCAGATTTAATATAGATGGGTCTATAAAGAACATCATTCGCTTCCCAATGCCATCAAAGCCCCAAACAAACAAAACATTTCATTTCAGGGACACAAAAACCGGGGGGGTCATCAAAACTGCCACTCCCAACTTCCTAATTACCCTTAATACACTATCTGATAACAACTAGGTACCTAATTCCCTTGACTAAACTGAGAAATCAAAATGACATCATCTTGCATGCAAGATCACAGGGCTGTGACATCATCCTTCTGTTGCAGTTTCATACTATCCTGGCGCATTCTGTTCCACTTGTTCTTCAGGTCTCTTGCAGTTTTATTCTTGGGAAAGACTTTGGAACCAAACTCCAAAATTCTCTTCCATGGAATTGTTCCATCACCCTGTGTAAACTCCTCTACTCCCTTCTGCAAGTATATATAGTCAAATTCAAATCTTACAATAAGTCTTAAGTCGTGTATTATATGCCACATGCTTGCTCAATTAACATTTCAGGAAGTTCACCCCCATACCAGAATTTCTTAACACAGGTAGGCAAGGTTGTGGACTTTTCAAAGCTATCAACTCTTTATACCTACTATAAGCAATCTACGATAGGAAGTAATTACCCTGAGCATCCCTTCTTCAGCATCTGTCCATGGAATTATCTTTCTCTTCGATCGTCGAGATGGAGTGAATGAGCTACAAATAAGAATCTTGTTAATATTTGATTCTCAATAAATCAAGGCTAACTCATTTCCTCTCTCACACGATATAATAAAGCCAACGACAAGAGCATGTTAAAATTTTAAAAACGATGTACAGGAAACAAGAATATCAATTTCTGCAAAGCAAACTTACAACTTTGTCTGATGTTCTTTAGTATCGTTAGATATTATTAACTTGTCATTTGCACCGATACATGACGCCTCTTCATCACTATTGACAAGCTCCTGACAGGCGTCTGTTGTCTGAGGCTTTACAGCTTCCTTTAAAATGTCATCTCTTTCAACTTCTACCTGATTTACAGGGTCAGTTTCAGTGTTTTCAGCGGTTGGATGATCATCACAGGAGTTAAGCTTGGACTGCTGTTGGTGTTCACGCTCTCTCCTAGATGTTCACTCTCCTGATTTCCGACAAGGCCTTCATTGCCATTTAATGTTGAATGACTCGGAAACCTCCTCCGTTCCTGAGCAAATTTTCCTATAAGCCTCATAAATGCAACTAGTTTCTTCCTTGCCAAGATGATCTTGTCCTTAGCTTTTATGTACTCAGAGATGGAAACAGAATATGCACAAAAAGGGCAAAGAAAGTTGCCCTTATCATCAAATCTTGCAGCACAATTCAAGCAACTCTCATGGACCACAAGTGGACAACCACTAGCACTGCACACCAAAACCTGACCATTTTGGTTACACTTGACACAAGACCTCGTTTCTGTCCAGCCAGCTTTTTGATTCGAATCTTGACTTGGTATGCGATGTGAACTCAAGAAAAGGTTCTTCTTCAAGGCATTATTAAGGATCTCATCTTCAAATTCAAATATTTTTCCATAGAAGGATGAACAATGTCAGCTTTTTCCACATTATGATCAATATTTTGTTGCAATCCATCAGCAGAGATGGAATTTGGGGAACTTAATGTAAAATCTTGATCAATATCTACAACCACATCACCACTAGGACCCTTTTGCAGTGAAACATTTTCAACGAGATTGGATTCATCAGTCGGAGCATTTTGGCAAGTTATATCTTCATGCTTGTGCTCGACCATCACATCAGCATTGTCATTTTGAACGTTTTCCATCTGATTGTCCAGCAGTTCTACACGACCAACAGCATCAACTGACCCATGGGTCCTTGAGGCAACACATAAATCTTTATCACCCTCACCTATCTGAGAATCTTTCCTCAAGTTATTACCTTCTATTTCAGTAACTTTCATAATCCTTTGAGATTCATCTTCCAACCGTTCAGAACCAGCACACAAGTGAATCGGAAGCTCCTCAACCGACTGAATAGTACAAGAGGGAGTAGCATCCTGCTTGGACCTTTTAGCATTCAATTGAGGATAACCGACTACTCCCATTGGATTTTCAGCAACCAAGTCATCTCTACACCTCTTAGAGGGCAATAAATCTTTTCCAAGCAACAATTCATTATAATTTTCATTAATTCGAGGAGTCAAGTTACCCTCTTGGTTACCCTTTTTATCATCGCCATCAGACAGTGATGGAGGGCCATTTTCATCACAACGAGAAACAGGATCGTCCCAGAAAATATAATCTTTCAACTGTTCAAAAAAGGACCAATAAGAAACAATAAACAAATAAGCACGTGTTTGCAAAAAATGAAAAAGGAGTGAAGCTATGCTCATTATCACATTTTGCAGCAGGAGTAAAATCCAAATTTACCTTTTCTAATGAACATTGTGGTAGGGTGTCTCTCTTATGCTTAATAAAGGACTGGCCATCCCATTTCGAAAGCTTGGGTGCAGGTCTTTTTAGATTTTGAAATGGAACCTGACAAAGAAAGATATGCTTATAATTGACAATGCAGGCACTTCAGCTAGCAAGATTTTATGAGAGAGTCAAAAAAAAGGTTTGTCTATCTAAACAACATAAGTTTATAGAGCAATGCCGAAACTAGAATGTATGTTTATATTTTACCACTTGCATTATTTGGTTGAGAACAGCATCACAGCTCAGCGAAGGAGTAAAAGTGGCTCTTGAAACAGGAGGAACGACGTTTCCAAGACTGTTTTCAGGACTAAATAACTTCTCCAAACATTTTAAAGCAACCCTCTCTTTCGTATTTTCATCGAAATCCTCCGGTGCTGCCGGAGATGTTTCAATCAGACCTGAGAGAACAGAGAAAAGTTAAAACACCCAAATAGTAATGATAACAAAACACCAAGTGATACACATTTTCCATACCGGTTAATGGAAATATCTATCTCGGGGAAGCTTGATAAATACTCAATGATGCACTGCCATAAAACCGGAGGACCAGAAGAATTACGGCCAAAGATCGGACCTAGTCGGTCCATGAGAATGATCTAGTTTAAGAGTAATCACTTGATCTACATGTTACCAACACAGGAGTTTCATAAGTTTGAAGCCTTTCAAGAATTAAAAATCTATATATAACAAACAATAAAAAAATAAGAACTTAAATATAACATCATTCAAGCGCAAGAAAATCGTTGTTTTTAGCTAACATTAGGCTAATCTTGCAATCTCATAAGCAGAAACGAGCATTGAAACACAAACTTAACATAAATTTAGTAACCAATGAAACAAATCTAAAACTAATTACAGGGGGAAATTAATCTCAGGTATGAATACTACTTTAATGAACTAAAAAGACCGAAATATCGAAGTTAAACCCATTTGAAGAAAAAAACCCTAGTCGTTAAGAAACTTTAAAAGAAAAAAGGGGAACCCTAAAAATAGAGCATTCAAAAACTAGATGAAAACTTAAACAAGAATAAGTATATTAACTGAAAATCCTGAAAAAAAACTTCCCCAAACCCACAATTTTTTTTGTTCTTAAAAACCCTAGTCCCTTGAACTAAGAATGTTAAGAACAAAAAAAAACCCAGAAAGTGGAGGGTCCAAAAAAATGAAATTACATGATGAATAATCGGAAAAAAGGGGGGGAATACGAAAAACTTATATCAAATTAGAGATTTCTTCATTCTTTACATGCATTGAAAAATCAGGTTAAGAACCTTTAAGAGATGCTCGAAATTCTTTCAAGCAAAAGAGAAGTATTCTCATTGTTAAAACAATTGAAATTTCAAAGTTAATAGAATGATCATTAATATTAGGGTAAATTACGCGTTTAGTAATTAAATTATCAGTTTTAATCCGTGTTAATACCTAAATTTTTATTTTTTTTAAAAATCATATCTAAAGTTTAGTTTTTATTTCATTTTAATACTAATCGTTAAAAACTTTAGTTTTTGTTTCATTTTAGTACAATCGTTCAAAATTTAACATTAAATTTTTAAAAGACTGAAAGTTTAGGCTCTAAAACATACCAAAAATGATAGTTTAGGTATTAAAAGCGTTAAGTTTTTAACGATGAGATATTAAAATGAAATAAAAATTAAATATTAGGTATGATTTTAAAATAAATTAAAAGTTTAAGTATTAAAATATATCAAAACTAATAGTTTAAATATTAAATACATAATTTACCTTAATATTATACTTCTATAGTAAATTCGTTAACTAAAAGTTAAAATATTGATATAATATATTATTCTCCGCTGTAAGATTCGTATTTTTTATTAAATTAAAATGATTATAAAATAGTATATATGTAAGAAGATTTGTATCCTTTGTTCCATTGTTTTCCAATCAAATCGATAAGGCGCTACAAAACAACAGTTTCATAATCTTACTAACATTGACAACCAATGTTATTGTTATTTTTAAAAAAAAAATAATTAAAATATCATATAGATCGTATTTCAATTAACACCAAAATAATATATTTTTTCGTCTCATAAAAATATTCTTTATTTACCTTTTAAAGATCATTTTTTTTAAATTTTAAATGTGATTATTTCAAATATTTTAAATAATGAAAATTTATTATATATATATATAAGAACTATTTAATTAAAAGTTTTATAAAAAATATATATTTTTATCAATAATAAATTTTAAATAATAATTAGTTAAAGTTTTAAAAATTGATCAAAAAAGTTAATAATAGACATATTTCATGGGACCGATGGAGTAATAAATTCTTATATTGTATGTTTTAGTTTTTTTTTCTCATTAAATTAGGGTAAATACAAGGTTGTATCTATTCACAGATAACTCTCCATCATTTGATATTGAACATTCGCACTCCTGATATTCTTAGTACTCGAATAAAAGACCTCAAAGTTATCATCAAGATCACTTAGTTCGTGTTATATATGTTTTACTTTAAATAAAAATAAGCATTGTACTAAAACTATACTCTTTGTTGATTTTAAGCGTTTAAATAATTATTCACTGAAAGAATGTTCTTAACATTTTTCAATTATTATTTTAAGTGCCTACGGTATAGTACCCGTTAAAAATTGTTATTTGACACGTGTCTCGTTTATATATATTTTTTATTTTAAAAATTAAAAATATTATTTTAAAAAATCAATTTCTTTTGTTAAAATAACTAACCTCCCATCCCTATTTACCTATCAGCACCCCTAATCCTCGTCCCCCCATCCTCAACCTCGTCGGTTGGGAGAACAATAACTTTTCCCTGTAGAACGCCGTCTACACCCCAGTTAAATTCCGAACACCTCTATCGCTCCTACCGCTTTGGGATTCAATCCTGTTATATTGTGATTAGAAATAGGGTTGGAGATTTAGGTATTTAAGAGTTTGATTGACGGCAAAGATGATGATCGGTTAGTGAGTCGTTCGATGATAAAGGTTGTAGTCGGAGATAACCGATGACGGTTAGAAATAAGATTTAAAATATGAAATTTTTGGGTTTTTAATAATTTTAAAATAAATAATAATACTTTAAAAACTTAAAATAAAAATTCAAAAAAATATGTATGTTTTAACATTATACATTTAGATATTTAAATTTATAAGGCGAAACCGATGAATATGAGTAGCTGATTGGGGAAGGTAAAAGGACTCCTCCTCCTCCTCTTCCTCTATATTTCTCAAGCACGAATATGAGTAGTTGATTGGGGAAGGTAAAAGTCCTCCTCCTCCTCCTCCTCCTCCTTTTTCTCAAGCACTTTCTTTCATTAATAATAAATAAATAAATAAACAAACAAAATAATTTATATTTTAGATAAAAACGAGGAAAAAAGGTGAATTCAGTGTGAGATGACGTTAATGAGTGTAGCGTTGAATATCTATGAAATTAGGTACGAGGGTTCAATCCAGTCGCGTGGAGTGAAAAAATTATAAGTTATTATAGGTACGAGTCATATTTTACCATTCGGAGTTGATTTGAAATTTTTTGATTTCATTTGAATTTATAAAATTTGAATCTAGTCACTTTGTCGAATTTTTGTTTAAATTTAATTGTGAATATTTATAATATTCTAATATTTTTCTATTCTAATTTAAGTGACTTTTTATAATTAATATATACAATACAAATATGTTTCATCATATTTTTTTCATATGGGATATACATATATATATATATATATATATGTATATCATGCAAAGTCTAAAGACTCGACTCAAACTTAAAAATAAATTCAGTAATCAATAAAAATTTCGAATTATTCGAGTTACATTTTACAACTCTATTTGAATTTGAAATTTGAAATTTTTTCGAGTCGAATCGAGTCGAAAAAATCGAGTTTTCGAGTAAAATCGAGTTTTGTAGACCCCCCTACATCAAATAGTAACGCCTCAGCAGGCAAGTAGGGTTGCACATAATTCGGATTTCAATCCGATCCGGATCGGTTTTTATCCGATCCGGTTTTTTCCCATAGAAAAAAAATCGGTTTATAAAATAACCGGTTCGGTTTCTAACCGGTTTGGAGGGCCGGATATCCTAACCGGTGTAACCGGTTTCGGTTTTAAAAAAACCGGTTTTTTTAAAAAACCAGTTATAAAAAAACCGATTTTAATATTCCAGATTGTTCATAGGGAACCGATTCCCCCCCAAGGGGGTACCGATTCCTCACTGAATGGTTTGGCTCCGAGATTTCCAGAATGCTCGGAGGGAACCGATTCCCCCATAGGGGTACCGATTCCCCCTATTCAACGGTCGAAATATTTGAATTTTACACTTAGGGAACCGATTCCCTATGAGAGGGTACCGATTCCCCCATGCTCCAAGCATTTTTATTAAATGTTTTCACACTTAAACGGCTATATTATCTTCATTAATTATCACTAACGTTCAGAAGTGATTCAAGGTGTATTTAAGCAAGCTTAGAAGCCATTGATCAAAGACAAGAAACATCAAACAACTAGAATCAAGAGAGAATCAAAGAGAAAGCATCAAACCTCAAGTTCGATAATTCAAATACTTAATTGAAATACTTAATTAACTCAACATAATTGAAATACTTAAATACTTCCAAGTTTGATAAATTCAAATACTTAAAAACTTCCAAGTTCGATAAATTCAAATACTTAAAAACTTCAAGTTCGATAATTGAAACAAAGTTTACGATAATTGAAATAAAGTTATAAAATAAACTACATTGCCATCTCTTATTCATCATCTTCGCCTTCTTCGTTTGGAGGGGATATTCCAAGTTCGACTTCTTCAATGTAAGTTTGCTTCCAAATCGGCATCAATTGCATCTTCTAGGGTGGTGATATGTTGCTTACGAGCCGCTCCATCCAAATAATCCTTTAAACAAATGCATACTTCCACCGACTCGGGACTTAGTCTTGATATCCGTTGTGATATAACCCTGCCACTAACAGAAAAAGCGGATTCCGAAGCTACCGTAGAAGCTTGGACGGTTAGTAAATCACGGGCCATGGCGGCTAGAATTGGAAATTGTGCTTCCTTTTCTTTCCACCAAGCCAAAATATCTAAACTTTCAAACTCTTCAAATGTCATTTTTGATAGAAAATCGCATGACATGTAATTTCCCAACTCGCTACTTGGGGTGGTAGTACGTGATCGTTTGGATTGGGAATTTACAAGAGTGTTAAAAAGATTCAAATTTATGTTACTTGGACGTCTACTAGATGATTCCGCATTCATTCTCATTTGATCGTGTATTACACTACTTGATCCGTATTTAGTTAAATAAATTGCAAACATGTCTCGAAAACATTTGTTAAAATAATTTATTTGGTTTTGGACAAAGTTGGGTTCATCATCGGTTAGATTAAAAGCAAACGCAATTTGTTCAATTAGTGTTTCAACCCCACCAACATTTAACGTTGGGTTTAAAGCGGCGGCACAAGTAAAAATGGGGGGA